ACAACTGAATCACAAGACTTAAGAATGGCCCCTCCTGGCCAGGCGTGGTAGCTCACGCCTGTAATCCCAGCACTTTGGGAAGCTGAGGCGGGTGGATCACCTGAGGACAAGAATTCAATGCCAGCCTGGCCAACGTAACGAAACCGTGTCTCTACTAAAAATACAAAAATTAACTGGGTGTGGTGGTGGGGTCCTGTTAATAGCAACTACTCAAGAGGCTGAGGTAGGAGAATCGCTTGAACCTGGGAGGCGGAGGTTGCAGTGAGCTGAGATTGTGCCACTGCGCTCCAGCCTGGGAGACAAACTCCATCTCAAAAAAACAAAAAACAAAAAACAAAAAACAAAAAGAAAAGGAAAGGAAAAGGTAGAGGGAAAGAGAGACAGGGTGGCAAGACTCCCTCTGAAAGACCTAAGAAGACGATGACTCACTCAGGAGGCAGGAAAGGTGACGCAAGGCCAAATCAGACCTCAGGGTCTTCAAATTAGACCTTGAGGAGCCTTCATTTCTTAAGAGATCAAGGTGCTTTTCTTTGAAATGACATAAAATCTACAGGAGTGCTAAGATTAAATCCCTGTGAGGATTGTTTCTCTCTCTCTTTTTTTTTTTTTTAGAGACAGGATCTCATTCTGTCACCCAGGCTGGAGTGCAGTGGCACGAAAACAGCTCACTGCAGCCTCTAACGCCTGTGCGTAATCCTCCTGCCTCAACCTCCCCAGTAGCTGGAATTACAGGTACGCGCCACCACACCCAGCTAATTTTTTTATTTTTAATAGAGACGGCGTTTGATTACGTTGACCAAGCTGGTCTCAAACTCCTGGCTTCAAGCGATCTTCTCACCTCAACCTCCGAAATCAGGGGCACTACAGGCATAAGTTATGTTAGCATGGTTTTTCTTTAAGGGACAGGGTCTCACGTTGCCCAGGCCAGTCTCAAACTCCCAGGCTCAAGCAATCCTCCCCGCTCAGCTTCCTGAGTAGCTGTGACTACAGGCCCATGCCACCACACACCTGGCTTGCTTTTTAATTATCTGACAGCAAAGTGCTGAATACATTAATTGGTGCTAACTTTTTCTCTTTGGAGGCCTTGGGCTCCTGTCTTGCCAGTGAGCTGATCCTTCAAGGCTGAGCTCCTGGCTCCACCAGGAGTTGAAAGCCATCTAGAAGCTCCCCAGGTATACAGGTGGTGAAAACAAGTTCCAAGCAAAAGGACTGACCAGGGTGTGTGTGTTTGGGGAGGAGGGGGCGGGGGACCTGCACACTTTCCCTGACTCATTTCCTCATAGAGGTACTTATTTACACTAGAACAGGGACTTTCTTTTTTTTTTTGAGACGGAGTCTGGCTCGGTTGCCCAGGCTGGAGTGCAGTGGCCAGATCTCAGCTCACTGCAAGCTCCGCCTCCCGGGTTTACACCATTCTCCTGCCTCAGCCTCCAGAGGAGCTGGGACTACAGGCGCCCGCCACCTCGCCCGGCTAGTTTTTTGTATTTCTTAGTAGAGACGGGGTTTCACTGGGTTAGCCAGGATGGTCTCGATCTCCTGACCTCGTGATCCGCCCGTCTCGGCCTCCCAAAGTGCTGGGATTACAGGCTTGAGCCACCGCGCCCAGCCAGAACAGGGACTTTCAAAGTATTTTTTATTATCACATCCCAAAGAAAGAAATACTTTTTACATGGTGCTCAGTACAAATACACATTCACAAAATTCATAAAATTCTGGATTCTGGTGTTTTCCATTCTATTCCTTTTTTTTTTTTTTTTTTTGAGACATAGTCTCACTCTGTTGCCCAGGCTGGAGTGCAGTGGCCTGATCTCAGCTCACTGCAACCTCCACCTCCCAGGTTCAAGTGATTCTCCTGCCTCAGCCTCCCAAGTGGCTGGGACCACAGTTGCCCACCACCACACCCAGCTAATTTTTTTTTTTTTTTGAGACGGAGTTTCACTCTTGTTGCCCAGGCTGGAGTGCAATGGCACAATCTCAGTTCACTGCAACCTCCGTCTCCCGGGTTCAAGTGATTCTTCTGCTTTAGCCTCCCAAGTAGCTGGGACTAAAGGCACACACCACCACGCCCAGCTAATTTTGTATTTTTAGTGTAGACGGGGTGTCATCATGTTGGTCAGGACGGTCTCGAACTCCCGACCTCAAGTGACCCACCTGTCTCGGCCTCCCAAAGTGCTGGGATTATAGGCGTGAGCCACCGCACCCAGCTTTTTTTTTTTTTTTTTTTTTGAGACAGAGTCTCACTCTGTTGCCCAGGCTGGAGTGCAGTAGCATGATCTTGGCTCACTGCAACCTCTGCCTCTCAGGTTTAAGAGATTACTGTGCCTCAGCCTCCTGAATAGCTGGGATTACAGGCGTGTGCCACCACGCTCAGCCAATTTTTGTATTTTTAGTAGAGATGAGGTTTCACTATGTTGGCCAGACTGGTTTCAAACTCCTGGCCTCAAGCAATCCACCCAGCTCAGACTCCCAAAGTACTGGGATTACAGGCGTGAGCCACCATGCCCGGCCTTCTATTTCATTTTCTAATTTAAAGTTGTAGTAGCAACCCCTAAATTAATTTCATAACACACTAAGTCCTGAACCAGTTTGAACCCCAGCCCTGGAGTCATACTCTTGGGCTCTCTCCTCAACCCTCACTCACTGTCCCCCAGAGGCCTGTTTTATTTGGATGGGGATTTTAGAAGGCAGGAGGCATGCTCAAACTGGCTGCTTCTGAGCTGCCCTCCCAGCCCTGCCCATCGGCAGAGAGTAGGTGAGGATGCTCCCTGCTTCCTGGGCTGGGGCCTGGCTCTGTAGAGTCAGCAGGTGGCATTGTTCTCTCCGTTTGGCTGCCTCCTGCATCTTCTCAGTTGGTTCTATCCTGGAGATAAGCGGTATTTATTATTCTGTTAGGTTCCAATGTTTAGCAATGTTAAATAGTTCCAGCAAGATAAGGGCTAAAGGTATTCCCAATGGATTTTCCAACAAGGGATTTGTTGGAGACACAGGTGAAAACAGTTTCACTGGGTGCATGGGGCAAGGCATAGGAAGTGCACATTATTCAGGCGTGGGGCTGAAATGGACAAGAACAAGAGGTAATAACCAGAGAAGCCAGCTTTCTGAAGTGGGAGAAATCTGAGTATATGTGTGTGGGATGCTAGAAAACACCAGGAGGTGGGGTGGGGGTAAGGAGTGAGAAGGGGTAGGGGGCAAAATGGCATGGAGTGGCTTACAATAAAACCACATTCTGAAAGCAGTGTCAGTACGCACCCCAGTGGCAACCATTAACCGTTGGGAAACTGCAGCCAGTGAGTAATTGTTCCATCCTCTCTTCCTTCCCAGAGGCATTTAGTGCCCTAAGAGGCCTCAATGGGATTCGGCCCAGAGGGTCCACAGCAGAGTCCTTGACGCTGTACCCTGACATTGGCCTCCTTTCCTTCTTCCCTGTCCTACTCTGCTGCTTCCAGACATCACTTCCCAAATAAACTACATCCATAGTCCTCCAAAAGTGTTAATACAGAAATACGGATATAGCTCAAACATCACTATCTGGGAGGAGAGGAGCATACATATGTAGCCAAAGGGAAAGGGGTTCAAATCAGAAGGAATAGGGGCTGGGACCCAGATCCAGGGGTACAGAGGAATCAGGAACTAAAAGGTGAAAAGTTGAGACAATATAAAGGAAAAGAGGTAACCCTGCTGGGCCCTGAGAGCCACAGGCGGTCTCTCGACCCATGTACCCTACATGGTGTCACCCCTTCTGAGAGCCAAAATAACCCAACTGCTGTACTCAGGTCGTTTCTCCTGTTCTTCCTCCTCGTGCTACCCACGTAGAAGCCTTGGCAGCCACTGGGGGGACCTAGAACAAGGCAGTCAGCTCTAAACATTCTGAACTTCTGACACTGCTTAATTCAGCCTCACCAGGACCCCAAGACAGCTGGGTCCGGGAGGCAGCGAAAGAAGGCTAGAGGTGGTGGGGAGCCAGGGACCTGGGTTCTATTTGTGGGGAAAAGAAAGAGATCAGCCTGTTACTGTGTCTATATAGAAAGAAGTAGACATAAGAGACTCCATTTTGTTCTGTATTTGAGATGCTGTTAATCTGTGACCCTACCCTCAACCTTGTCCTTGCAAGAGACATGTGCTGTGGTAACTCAAGGTTTAATGGATTTGGGGCGTGCAGGGTGCGTCTTTCTTCCTAGAAAAGCTAGGTATTGTCCAAGGTTTATCCCCATGTGATAGGATGAAACAATGCCGCTAAAAGGTTTATCTCAAGGCACAGGATTTTCCTTTAAACTTATTCATGTCACAGAGATCCCTGTTCTTATGTCTTACTGCTGATTTCCTCCCTAAAAACGATCCTATTGTCCTGCCACTCCCTTATCTTTAAGATGGTAAAGATAATTATCTATAAATACTAAGGGAACTCAGAGACCAGTGCCGGCCTGGGTCCTCTGTAAACTGAGCGCCGGTCCCCTGGGGCCCCGCTTTTCTTTCTCTATACTTTGTCTCTGTGTCTTATTTCTTTTCTCAAGTCTCTCGTTCCACCTAATGAGAAACACCCACAGGTGTGGAGGGGCAGGCCACCCCTTCACTATTCCTGCCTCTGCCACCCCATAGCCGTGTGATCTCCGGGGTCTTGCTTCAATTTCCTCCCCGAGGTCTTGAGGGATGACCAGGAGACAGATCGCTTGGGTTTGAACGCAGGCCACACGGAAGCACTACCATGCGGCTTTGGGCGGGTTACTTAACTCCTGGGCCTCGGTTTTCCCTTTTGCGTGGTATCGTTGTAAGGGGTAACCGAGAAAAGCCATGAGCTAACCCCTGGTGGTTGCCAGCAAGCACCGCCGTCTCCCGTCCTCCCCAGGCACAGCCTCTCATCCCCACACCCCGCACCTGGCAGGGGGAGCGGAGGTCCCTGCCTGCCAGCGCCCCCAACCCGCGCCGCCGGGTCCCGGGCGGCCAGCCGTGACAGCGGCGGTGCATTGTGGGGCTTGTAGTGCCGGACTGGGGCTGGGTGGGTGGGCGCGGCCGCGGCAGTCGCAGCGGGGCCATCTTCGGCGGGCGAGCGGGCTCGGCCTGTGCAGCCCGTACTTGGGCCCCTCGCCCAGCCCGATGGCGCCGCGGCCGCTGGGCCCCTTGGTGCTGGCGCTGGGCGGCGCCGCGGCGGTTCTGGGCTCGGTGCTCTTCATCCTCTGGAAGACCTACTTCGGCCGCGGCCGGGAGCGGCGCTGGGACCGCGGCGAGGCCTGGTGGGGCGCGGAAGCCGCCCGCCTCCCCGAGTGGGACGAGTGGGATGTGAGTGCCGGGCCTAGGTTCGCGAAAGGGCGAGCAAGCTGGGGCTGCGACTCCGCGCATGTGGCCAAGGGGTGTGACCACGGCCCTGCTGGCGCCGGGAGCTCGGGGGGTCGAGGGCTTGGCAGCCGCAGCGGAGGCCCCGCGCGGGTGGCCGGTCAGAGCCCGGGAACCGAGGAACGGGTGGGCGTGTTTGGGTGTATACGGCGCCGTAGAGCCGCGCCGTCGCTGCACGCCGCGGGGCTCGGGCGTTCCAGCGTGGGCCGGAGTTTGGAGGGCGCGGCTCGGGAGTATCCTGGGCCCCAGCTGGGTCGGCTAGCGCCCCTCCGGCGCCTGCGCAGTGCGCCCCGCCCCGGGAGATGTCGGGAGAAACCCGTCCCCTCCCGTCTGCGGCTGGGACTCCGAGTCCGGTGGAGGAAGCAGGGCGCGCGAGCGTGAGGAGTTAGCCAAGCGTTTGGAACTCAGGACTCCAAAGGCAGCGTTCGTCCCACTCATCCAGACCATGCCTGCCTGTCCCAGGACGGGTGGAGGGCGGGCCTGAGCCCTCTGGTGCCTTGGTCTTCCCTCGGGAAAGGTCCACCGGGAGGCCGCCAGCCAGCCGCAGCCTTACCTCCGCTTCCCCGCAGCCCGAGGACGAGGAGGACGAGGAGCCGGCGCTGGAGGAGCTGGAACAGCGCGAGGTGCTGGTGTTGGGTCTGGATGGCGCGGGCAAGAGCACGTTCCTGCGCGTGCTGTCGGGGAAGCCACCGCTGGAAGGCCACATCCCCACCTGGGGCTTCAACTCCGTGCGTCTGCCCACCAAGGACTTTGAGGTGGACCTGCTGGAAAGTGAGCGGACACCCTACCCCATCTCCCCGTCTCCTCTACTGGACCTGTCCTGGATTCTCGCAGGGAAGGGGGCTTCCAAAATGCATGTCTAAGCAGCACATTCCCGTGTACGAATCCTTCCCACCCCTCTCTGGGGCACAGGATTCAGTCCACGCTTTGTGCTCTGACATTTAGGGCCCTTCGTGATGGGGCCTCTCCAGCTGCACCGCCTGCCCCATCACCCCTACCAAAGTCGACAGGCCTAACACAGATACTAACAGCTAAGGGTTCATATGCCAAGCACTTGACAGGCATTGCTTAAGAAAAATCCCCTAAACAATTGCATAAAACTAGAATCAGTCACTACCCTAATTATCTCCAGAGAAAAATGAGTTCCAGCAGTAGTATCATGAATCCAAGGTCACCCACCTTTCAAGTGTTCTTTTTTTTTTTTGTTTTGAGATGGAGTCTCACTGTGACACCCAGGCTGGAGGGCAATGGTGCAGTCTCGGCTCACTGCAACTTCTGCCTCCCGGATTCAAGCGATTCTCCAGCCTCAGCCTCCCGAGCAGCTGGGATTACAGGCGCCCGCCACCACGCCCGGCTAATTTTTGTATTTTTAGAGGAGACGGGGTTTCACCATATTAGTCAGGCTAGTCTTGAACTCCTGACCTTAAGTGATCCGCCCCCTTCGACCTCCCAAAGTGCTAGGACTGCAGGCGTGAGCCAACGCGCCCGACCTTTCTAGTCTTTTTTTTTTTTTGAGACGGGGTCTCTGTTGCCCAGGCTGGAGTGCAGTGAGCAGTGGCACACCCTCCTCCACCATTGCCTGTGTGGCCCAATCTAGTATCATCTTTCCTCTCAGCACCACAGCCTCCTCTTTGGTCTTCCTGCTTCCCCTTCTGTCCCTAGTGTCAGCTGCAGAAAGCCCATGTCAGGTCATGTCACTCTTGCATCTCCCTACCCCCTCACTGTGTCTTTGGCCCTATGTGGCCCGTCCCAGCTAGCCTCACAGCCATGTTTCTCCTTCTTGCAGTGCCTCAGCACCCCAGCCTTCTTTCTGTTTTGCAGACACTTCCAGCTTGCTCTCCCCTCTGTCTGGAATGCTTTCCTCTGCCTCTTCCCGTGGCTGGCTCCTCACCATCCCACACTCAGCTCACATGCCACTTCCTTGATGAGACCTACCCAGACCACCCAATCCAGGGCCAACCCCTGTTCCACCTCAGCCACTTTCCCTTTTTTCTGTTTTATTTCTTTCCTTTCTGAAATGTGTTGATGTCACTGCCATGTGCTTCCCAGTTAGGGAGGGAGCTCCTTGGTGCAGGGCCCCTGCCTGCCTTGCTCACCTCTGTATCCCCAGCACCCAGATCAGTGCTTGGCACCTAGCAAGCACTCAGTAAATACTTGTTGAGTGCCTGCTATGTGCCGGGCATTGTGCTGAGGGCTTTGTGGGGATCCAGAGGTAAGTGTCTCTGACTCTCACAGCTTAGAATCCACAAGTGTCAGAAGCATAGCCAGAAACACTAGGGTGCGGGGTGACCAATGGGACTAGTGCAGAGGAGCACAGAGGAACAGAAAGGTGACCCAGGCTGGGGGACTGTGTTGGCAACCATGTGTTCGTAGGATGGAGTATGACATTTCCGAGGGAAAAGAAGGGGATGGGGAAACTGAATGGAGAATGATTGTATATAGGCAGGGCAGGGGGTCCTGAGTTTTCTAGACAATAGGACTCCTGGCTCCTATCACAGCCATCACTGACAGTTTCGAACCTGTCGGAGAAATCTAAGAATTAGCAAGAGGCAAAGCAAGATAGCCCAGGGGGGAGAGCTGAAGAGTCCCATTTACTGAGCACCTATGTGTCAGTCCTGTGAAAGGTACATTGCACATGGTACCTGTGGGTTTTACTGCACCCTGTTAGGAAAGTTCAGGGAGGAGACTGGTGTTTAAAGCTAGGGACTTGCTCCAGGAGACCCACCTGTCAGAGGTAGAGCTGAATCCCGTGTGAGTAGCTGCCGAAACTGCCATCTTTCCCTTGCCCCTGGCCGGTGGAAGCTCACCAAGCTAGGAGTAGGGTGGGGTGGGAGCTGTGGGCAGTGAGCCAGGGCCCTGGACGCTCTGAGCTGGCCCCTGGCCTCTCCTCAGTTGGTGGCAGCCAGAACCTGCGCTTCTACTGGAAGGAGTTTGTGAATGAGGTGGATGTGCTGGTGTTTGTGGTGGACTCAGCTGACCGACTGCGACTGCCCTGGGCCCGACAGGAGCTGCACAAGCTGCTGGACAAGGACCCTGACCTGCCTGTCGTGGTGGTGGCCAACAAGCAGGTGAGGGCTGTGGGAGGGCAGCTCAGTCCAGGGGATGTCCACTTAGAGATGCTTGGGCAGGGGCAAGGAGCGCTGCCTGGGCCCATGGCCTAGAGAGGTTGGCTGAGATGCTGCCCCTACCTCTTCTACCTGTGCCCTGTCCTGATCCCTGCTTCTGTCTTCCTTCCTCTTTGCCTCCCTATCATCTCGCACCCTGGAGAGATGAGAAAAATAATTATTAAGTGCCTCCTACATGCCAGGCATGGTGTTTTGTTTTTGTTTTTGTTTTTGTTTTGAGGCAGAGTCTTGTTCTGTTGCCCAGGCTGGAATGCAGTGGTGTGATCTCGGCTCACTGCAACCTCCACCTCCCGGGTTCAAGCAATTCTTGTGCCTCAGCATTCTGAGTAGCTGGGATTACAGACATGTGCCACCACACCCAGCCAACTTTTGTATTTTTAGTAGAGGCAGAGTTTTGCCATGTTGGCCAGGCTGGTCTTGAACTCCTGACCTCAAGTGATGCGCCCACCTCAGCTTCCCAAAGTGCTGGAATTATAGGCGTGAGCCACTGTGTCTGGCCTCCGGTACGGTTTTGAATAACATTTCTTCTTATGCTTCTGTTCAGCCTATAAAGTATAGAATGCTATTCCATTTTATAGATGAGAGACGTTTTGTAATCTTTCCAAGGCTGTACATCTTGAGAGTAATAGAATTGGTCCAGGCGTGGTGGCTGAAACCTCTACCCCCAACATTTTGAGGCCGAGGAATGTGGATCGTTTGTTTCCAGGAGTTCGAGACCAGCCTGGGCAACATGGCGAAACTCTTTCTCTACAAAAAAATGCAAAAAATTAACTGGATGTGGTGGTGCCTGCCTATAGTCCCAGCTACTTTGGAGGCTGAGGCAGAAAGATCACTTGAACCCGGGAGGTCGAGGCTGCAGTGAGCTGTGATCACACTCCAGCCTGGGTGACGCAGCGAGACCCTATCTCAAAAAAAAAAAGAATAGTGGAATTGAGAACGTCTAACTCTAAAGCTGTACCTTTTCCACTCTGCTATTCCCTTGCAAATTCTGGCTCTAGATCAGAGAGCTGAAGCTGGTAACTGATGAGAGGTAGAAGAGGTTAAATAATAATAGCTAACATTTATTGTGTGCTTACAGTGTGCCATACATGTGGTAAGCACCTGACAATCATGACCTCACTTCAGCCCTCCAAAAACCCCATGATGGGCCCTGCTGCTAGCACTAAATACCTGGAGTTGCAGCTGGTATGTGGCAAAGCCAACCTGAACTCAGATATTCTTCCAAGTTCTTCCTCTAAACCAGTATGCTGCACTTCTCATCGGTGCCAGAGAGTTGCCTTAGGCCCAGGAACCCTCAGTATCACAGACCTTGGGTCACAATATCAGGTGAAACTGCCAGAGTACAGAGTCTGATCATATTTCCTGTGGCCTAAACTCAGGTGCCTCTGAGAGCTGTGGGACCCATTTCCAACTTGATGTGGAGAGAGGCTGTATGTCTTTGACCTCAGATTCCCCAACCTGTTAGGAAACATTTGACAATTATTTCTAAATAGGGTGACTGTATGTCCTTTTCTGTCCAAGACAGTCCCCATATATGACTATTAATAGTGCCTGCTCTGAGCCTTACACTGCCCCAGTTTGGACCAGGAATCACATCATATTCTATTTATAAACTAATTTATAGCAGTTTTGAACCTGTAGGAGACAACATCTAAGGTCCCAGCAGTCTCTGAATTGCTCCAGGAAGAATCATTTCATTCTTGGGCCAGGGCTGAAATTACAGTGTCCATCGCCAGCCATGCTGTGTAGTGGTCTCTTGTTTTCCTCCAGCTAGTTTCTAGAGGTCTTGTTTGGGAGTGACCCTACTGTATCATCTCTCCATGACTGAGTTTAAGAAACTTGGTTGTCAAACCAACCTGAGTTGGAACCTGGCTCTGCCACTTATCACTGTTACCTTAGCTCAATGATTTCAGCTCCCTGAGCTAATTTTCTCATCAATTAAGTGTGGACTGTGAAAATTAAGCTAGGTATATAAGGGCCTGTCTACAACGCTTGACACATAGAAAGTGCTCTGTTTCTGGCTGGGCGTGGTGGCTCACGCCTGTAATCCCAACACTTTGGGAGGCTGAGGCGGGTGGATCACCTAAGGTCAGGAGTTCGAGACCAGCCTGGCCAACATGGCGAAACCCTGTCTCTACTAAAAATACAAAAATTAGCCAGGCATGGTGGCTCACGCCTGTAGTCCCAGCTACTGGGGAGGCTGAAGCAGGAGAATCGCTTCAGGATTCCACCACAGGAGGTAGAAGTTGCAGTAAGCCAAGATCGCGCCACTGCAGTCCAGCCTGGGTGACAGAGCAAAACTCCGTCTCAAAACAAAAAAAGAAAATGCTCTGTTTCTTACCACAGTGACTGTGGTAATGCAATGAAAAGAGGTTGGTACAAAGGTGAGCCCAGGGTGAGGGAGAGAGTATTGAGGTAGATCAAGGGGTCCAGAGGCTAATTCTGGGAACTTGGAGCCTGATATTCCCAGGGATAGCCTAAGAACAGTGTATTTCATGAATGACAAGGGTGTGAGTGTGTTACGAAATGCTGCCAGCTGTGTTCTGACTTCTCTGTCTCACCCAGGACCTCAGCGAGGCCATGAGTATGGTGGAGCTGCAGCGGGAGCTGGGCCTCCAGGCTGTCGACAACCAGCGGGAGGTTTTCCTCTTGGCAGCCAGCATTGCCCCTGCGGGACCCAGCTTCGAAGAGCCTGGCACTGTTCACATCTGGAAACTGCTCTTGGAGCTTCTCTCCTAGGCTGGAGCTCTCCTGCTCACCACCTGCCTGTCAAGACCACAGTTGTACTGCTGCTGCTTCATTGCCAGACTGGGCCTGGGGCAAGAGCCACATGGCAGCATTTCTCTTCTGCCCTCCTTTCCCTCTCAAGAGCAGGGCCTGGGCAAGGCCGAGAACCATGCAGAAGCTTTCCTGGTGAGGTGGCCGTGAAGCCGGAGCAGGGAGGTGGGTGAGACAGAGGGTGTCTAGCTCATTCCAGGCTGGAATGTGGATCCAGCTTTCCCTTCTCTTACCTGTACAGTGAGATGCTCAGTGGGCTCAGTTCTCCGCTGCGGGTCCCGGTAGCTGAGGAACCAGTGTAGGTGTCAGAAATGCTCCTAGAGCCTCAAGGTCTCTCCCAGTCTAGACTGTTCCCTCCTGGTGACATCATGCCTTTGTCACGTGGGCAGCTTCTGAGTGGTAACACAGCAAGCCTTTGTTCCCAGTCCTGCATTGTACAGCCCCAGCTCCACCTAAATGACTTGTGGCCTTGTGCAATCTCTGCCTCTCTGGCCCCAGGGCCATTATTTTTAAAGGGAGGTGGTTTCCCAATTCGGAGATGCCTTTCCCAGCCATGGGAGTACGAAGTGCTAGGATGAACCTGGCAATCCTAGCAAGGAGCTTTCTGAAGACCTCCCTGCTTTTCCCTGAGCCCAGGCCTGGCCTGCCAGCCTCTTTTGACTACAGAATAACATATTCACCCACCAAACAGAAAAAGTGAAGGCTGGGTTTTTTTCCCTCTAATCTGGAGACAAGCTGCTGCTCTTGTACTAACTGTGCCAATGCCCATGTTTACATAAGTCAGGGGAAGGAAGGAGCCTGTGTCCCTGGGACGACAGTCAACTGGAGCTAGGTGTTGACCTCAGAACTGCAGTTTATTAATTTATAAGAGGAACAGGCCAGAGTTCTAGGCTCTGTTTCTAGGTGCTGTTATCAAAACCCCAGATGATAGTGATAGAAAATTTGGAACTTAGGAAAATAGCTGGAATCATGACTGACAATGAGATGACATACAGATGTCAATGGAGACAACGCTGTAGGTTCCTCCTCCCACCAGGCTTTGAGGCTGTCTTCGATGTCATAGTACTTTACATGGATTCACGTGAACTGAAACTCCACCACTTGGCCCAGGATGTTGAAAGGGTGCAAATTCCTTCTGGGTAGATAAGAAATGGCTCTGGGAGAGGATTTCCCTTATGTGAATCTAGGTAAAAAGATGGAAAAAAATTGTATTATGTGATCCTAAGGACAGGAATAGCAGACCAGCCAACGGGGTGGCCTTGGGTACATCACTCAGCCTTTCCAGGCCCAATTTTTCCCCAGTGAAAGGCGAGTTGGACTGAGTTTCTGGATTTCTCGTCAGTGCACACTCCATGGTTCTCCAGTGCTTGGCGATCAGCCCAGTGTAAGGACTGGCTCTGTACTGACATTTATTGTTAGTACAGGCAAAGAGGAGCCTGTTGTCTGTTAGGGACCACTAAATCAACAACCACAAAGGGATTTTTTTTTTTTTTTAAGAGGAGCTGTGCACCTCAATTTGCTGTCTAGTTGAGAATAGAGATTGTGTGCCTTCATTTCATTTGACATTTACCCAGCATGCCTCAGTTCCACACTGTGACCAGTGCAAGAAGAGGAACTGTGATAAAAACAGTTCAACAGGCCGCAAGGAGGGTGGGAAATTCTGAAGTCCAGAAGCGAGTGCGATCTTTGGAATAGTGGCTGCTGTGCCCTTGAGCGCCATGTAAAGAATCACTGTTCTTTAAAGTGCTGGTTCACTTTCTGCAGTAAGAAGTGGTTTATGTGCTCCTATGTAAAATTGTAAGGAAGGACTTGGGTTTTAGAGTAGCCTTTGAAACTTTGCTGGCAGCTTTTCATTTTGTCATTGGAAGGGTAAGAGACTTTTCTCCTTTGTTCTATGAACTCCTTGTTCTTCAGTGCTTGAAGGTGTTAACAAAAAAAACCTTAGACAACTTTAACAGAGTTTAAAAACTATGTTCTGGTTTCGAGCAGAAAAAAGATTCATGAACTGGGTAGTACTTAGCACCAAAAGCAGTTCAGAATGCTCAGCCCCACAGTGTGTGTAGGCTACATTTATAGCCAGAAAAACGAAAATAACTCAGATTGCCTGATTGGCTGCAGTCTGGTATTTGTCTTATTTGAACATGTTTTAGCAGCCTTCAGCTGATGATTGACTGAAGGTTTGGCTGCTGTGATTGGCTAAAATTCAGCTACATGTTAGAAGAACATACTTTTAGGTTAGGTGATGAGTTGTTTACACTTTAAGTTATAATTCACTGTGTACAGAGGCAGCTGTAGGCCAGACTTAATTCAGCTTCACAATGTCCCCCATTTTGCTCAGTCCCTTAATTTTGAGAGACTGACCAAAATCCCAGGCACTGACACTACCTTGTCACTATTTGACCTCATTATGGAACTCACAGTTTACAATGTTAAATCAGTTAGAGGATTCTTTATGTCTTCAGGTTTTTGTTCCTCTAACCTTAATGAGACCATTTGAGGTACAAAGGATGACTGCACTGGTGGATTTACGACTACAACACATCAGTGAGGACCTTAGGATGGCTATTGGGGGCATAATACCAAGAAACTGGAATGCATTCCTAAATATGAGTCTCTACAAACCAAACCGATCGGAATCAAACAACCCAAGGTCACAGTCGCAACGATAAAAAATAGTTCAACAGCATTCAAGCTCTGTGGCTCATAGCCTGTTCAGGGTATAACGGCAATTAAAGACATAGTTCACTATGAAGTCACTTAATTTTAAAGTTTTTGATTTTTTAGTTAGCTTGGGAACAAAAGTCATGGTGATTGGGATACCCACTAAAGATAAAGATTAGAAAACCTTAGCGGCTGAGCTTGCTGTCTACTATTCAGGATGCCTGCAAACCGACCACTAGCTGTTCCTGCAAGCACATCATGTGTTCCTTTTCCCTGAGAAACATCCTTGATGTGTTTGGTGGCAGTACCTACAGCAGCGGCAGCCACCACCGCCTTTTTAAGCTCTCCATAGTAGTAGAATCGGGAAAGATAAGCACAGCGTTCGGTTTTGTTCAGCACCACACACAAGCTTCTAGCTGGGCAAAGGGCGTCTAAAGCTGCATGACGTTCCATTAAGTGTTTTTGTTGAACCCAGATGGCCTCCTCCATTCATCCATCTGTGGCTTCTCCCCGTGTGAATCTCCATGCTACAAAATGTTGTTCAATGTAGCATTAACTTTAATTTCCATACAGTTGGCACCCCACTGCCATGGAAAGTGAGTCCCAGGAACCCCACTGGAACATCTGCTCGGTGGAAACTTACTCATCATCTGTCTCAAGGCCGGTATTCATTTTAGTCTTTGACCTCTGATTATGGGGCCTTTCAGGGAAAGCTGTTTGCAAGGCGAGTGTGAATCAGGCGAAAGAGCAAGATCTGAAGTCAGGACAGGGTAAGCAAATTATCCACAGACCTAATAGGTACCCTCTGAAGCTGGAAAGTGGGGGCCACCTGGTAGCATTTGAGCAGGGGTCCCTTACGTTCCACCATAAGTCTGCACAGCTCCTAAACAAGCTCCAGTGGGGAACTTGATTTTATGTGGTCCCTTTATAGCATGCTGTAAGGGTGCATAACCACAGCCAGGGCGAAGGGACCCTACTGGATTCAACCCAGTGACATTATATAAGCAGTCGCTTGGAGCCACATAGATAGTTCCCAGGTCCTGAATATGTGACGCCTGAAAGCATAGGTGTAGGCAGTATTCCTTGCATAGGCATTACCTGGACAGGTTTTCCATATTGGCACTTACTAGTTATTAATTGAAAAGGTCAGGGTACCACTTCCAGTGAGCGTAGGGAAGGAAGTAGTGGTGTTTAGAATATCAAGGTTAGCTGCCGGGCGCGGTGGCTCACGCCTGTAATCCCAGCACTTTGGAAGGCCGAGGCAGGCGGATTACGACGTCAGGAGATTGAGACCATCCTGGTTAACATGGTGAAACCCCGTCTCTACTAAAAAATACAAAAAATTAGCCAGGCGTGGTGGGACACGCCTGTAATCCCAGCTACTCGGGAGGCTGAGGCAGGAGAATCTCTTAAACCCGGGAGGCGGAGGTTGCAGTGAGCCCAGATCGTACCACTGCACTCCAGCCTGGGAGACAGAGTGAAACTCTGTCTCAAAAAAAAAAAAAAAAAGGTTAGCATTCTACTCTTCCTTTGGGGTCTGGGGTTTCGGGGTGACTCATTGGGAACGTGGAGAGATTAATGGAATCTCTGGCATTCCATTAATGGAATCGTTTCCTGATTTTGACATTAACTCAGACCCAGCAGTTACTCTAGTTTCTTGCTAGAGCATTAGCTTTTGCTAAAGCCAGCCCCAGATTATGGTCCCATGGATTTTCCTATAAAGAAAGGGAAAGGATTTGGGGGCAGAAAGTAGGAAATAGAGGGAAAAAGATAAGATTTTTGTGATTGCAGTGAAGTCTTCATCCACAATCTCGGGAAAGCTGTTCGTGTCTAGGATGCCATCTGCTTCTGGGGGAAAACTGCCCTGGGTAGCTTTACCTTCAAGTCTCCAACAGGTGTGTAGCTCCAGGAGTCTGGAGAGGCCCTTTTGAGCTGTGAGATGTGGACCCACGGTTCGAAGCCCTGAAGTTTTGCCACGCTGTGGGAAATAGAAGAACTTGGTATCGCCTCTTTCTGTGAGGTTTAAGGGCACTTTTTCTCTGATATCATCTCCAGAAGACCCAGTCTCAGGTTACAGATTGTGAAGGGTTTGATGGTCCTCTGTGGGCCACAGAAAGTTTATTTTGTCAAAATACAGTGTGACATAATGCGTTATAGCTTTGTCGTATTTAGTCATATGAGCATTTAGGAGAGGAGGAACTACGTGAAGTTCTGTTAGGAGCACAGGCTTTCTAGTAACTATTTCATGGGGGTCAATCTGTCTGTCGTGGATCTGATCCGCGGACCAAAGGCGATGGTTGACTTTCTTCTTCAGAGATCAGAAAAATAAAAATGAAATTCGAAGCCAGTGGTAGTACCTTTGGTCAAGATAATCCAATCAATTCAGTTAATTTTGCCAGTTTTAGTTTTAAAATATTGTGTGTCCTTTTAGCCTTTCCAGAAGACTGACGGTAAAAGGGATGATGGTAGTGCCGCTGTGTTTCTAACACTTTATTTAGCTGCTTCATAGTTTGTCCAATAAAATAAGTTCCTCTGTCACTGGAGATTTTTCCAGAGATGCCCCATAAAGGAAACATATTTTCTTGTAACTCCTTAGCTGCTGTCATGTCACAGCACCAGCTCTCCTACACGGGACGGCTTCTGTCCAACCAGAACACATGCCAGCTATTACGAGAACATACTGATACTTAATCGAGGGCGGCAGTTGAATGAGGGCCGTCTGTAAACGTTCCAGTGGTCCATCAGGTGGCGGTGGAAATAAACCGCTTGGAGTTTTTATTATCTTCCCAGGATTATGGGTTTGACAAACCAAATATTGGTTATAACCCATTTTAGCATTTTAGAGGAGTCACACTATCAATATTTTTTATAATTTGGATCATTTTGCTCATTTCATGAGGAATTGTGAGGTGCAGAAGGTTTTTTCGTTTTGAGACAGGATCTCGCTCTGTCACCTAGGCTGGAATGCAGTGGTGCAATCGTGGTTCACTACAACCTCCACCTCCAGGGATCAACAGTCCTCCCACCTCAGTCTCCTGAGTAGCTGGGACTACCGGTGTGCGCCACCATCCCCAGCTAAATTTTGTAATTTTTGTAGAGAGGGTTTTACCCTCTTGCCCAGGCTGGTCTTGAACTCCTGGGCTCAAGCCGTCTGTCCAGCTCAGCTTCCCAAAGTGCTGGGATTATAGGGATGAGCCACCATGCCTGGCCGAGTGCAAAGCTTTTAACAATGGAAGTTTCAAGGGCTCAGGAAGGACCAGGGGGCCATCTAGGCTCTCCGTGAGTTCACACGTAACATTATGTTTATGTCTGTCAGACAACAATTTTGGCTTTCCGGATCAGGTGCATGGCACTGTTAGATGGGTCATCAAAAAGGTCATCAATCTAGTGGCGTTCATTCCAATTGCACATCCTAACTGTTTCAGCACTATCTGATTTAGCATGAAAATCTGCCAAGGCAGTCCCTTGATATTCAGGTTCAGCTTTCCATGTATGGGCTTCAATCTTGCAAGAATTTGTTATTTATTTTTCTCCTTTACTCAAGATAGCTTGGAACTTAGAGCAATTTGTGATGGCAACAGGATAGTAGCAAGTTCATCCACTTGAGTCTGTTTTTAATGGGGGCTCCACTAGAAGTGAGAACCCCTCTTTGTTGCCATAACACGCCAAAATTGTGGACTACTCCAAAGGCATATCTGCTCTGTACATAAGCATTTACTGATTTCCCTTGAGCTATATGACAAGCTCAAGTGAGAGAAAAACTGGGAAGAGTCTGCTTTTTATTAACTCATTTTGGGTTGTAATGACATATCTTGCCAAAGAGTAATTTCAAATGATGTTAGTCTACTTGCTGAAAAATGCTGGGTTTGACTGGAATTTAATAGACTTTCCACAGCACGTGGAACTTGCAAAAAAAAAGTTCATTCCCTAAAACCAGGTCAGATGAACCCTTTACCAATCTGGTGTTGCTGCCACTGCCTTTAAGCAATTAGGACATGCCTTAGCTATGGGGTCTGATTGCAGGCCATAATACATGATGGGCCTGCGCTTTCCCAACTATGTTCTTTTTCATGTGTTTATTTATTTTTTGAGATGGAGTTTTGCTCTTCTTGCCCAGGCTGGAGTGCAACGGTGCAATCTCGGCTAGCTGCAATCTCCGCCTCCCAGGTTCAAGCGATTCTCCTGCATAAGCCTCCCAAGTAGCTGGGATTACAGGCGTGTGCCACCACACCTGGCTAATTTTTTGTATTTAGTAGCGACGGGGTTTCACCATGTTGGTTAGGCTGGTCTCGAACTCCTGACCTCAGGTGATCACCCGCCTCGGCCTCCCAAAGTGCTGGGCCAACTATGTTCTTGAGTAAGAACTCCTAATGCCTGATTGTTGTGTTTATGAACAAACAAGGTGAAGGGTTCAGTGTAATCTGGAAATCCTAGAGCAACCATATCTGTGGCTTTCCATCCTGGTTTATATTTCTTAATTAGACTGTGAAGTTCTGAATGAAGTCCTTTTTAAATAGAGCAGTTAATGTCATTTCTGTCTCTGCAGGTTTCACAAGTAGTGTTTCTAAATGAGCTCTATAATCTGAAACTGGTTCATCTTTTGCCCACAAGATTATGTGATTGACCAATCAATTTTTTTGTGGAAAAGTCTTAGGGATTGAATTTAAAAGATTTTCGGCAATTCTTCTAGTTCCTTTTGGCCCTCCTCTTGGGGTTTTGGAGTGGTCTTTAATATCCTCAGGCTGTTTCCATTCTACTCCTGCCGTCAATGTCAATCTTCGAGCTTACCAGGTCCCAGTATCATGTGAATAAACTGGTAAAGATTAGAGGCCTGGATCATAAGCTCCTATGAGGATTCTCAGTTTCCCAGTACATTTTTGAGTATTTTCTCTTGGATTAGTTAAGTCTTTATGATGGCTCTAAGCTCAGCTTTAGACAATGGAGTAAAAGTGGTTACAGCAGGCAGGGCCGGTTGACTAGAGAGTCTCACTTTGCAAGGCATTTATCCAACTTCCCCTCTTTCATTAGCCTCAAGGAGAAAAGGTGACTTCGCAAAAGGGTTACTATACTCAGAGCATCAAGGTAAAGAAGAGAAAGAGAAGGAGCAGTCGGGGTTAGTGTGCTGCATGAGACTTTCATTTGCATTTTGTAAAGAATCTTTTAGGCAATTTTAGATTTGTATAGTCTTTTGGGTGCCTCTGCAGAGACCAATTTAAAATGCATCCCATTGTTTTTGTGGAGTTTTTGATCCTTTCTAATGTGTCCCACAAATAAACAGTTTTATTTAAAGTTTCCTCATTGTGGCCATTTTAATTCTAAGTTGTTTCTAGTAAGGTTAGCCTGGTTTTCTAAAAACAAGGTCTGGGTCCATAATCTTGGGGATTTTTTTTTTTTTTTTTTTGAGACAGAGCCTTACTCTGTCACCACCCAGGCTGGAGTGCTGTGGTGCAATCTCAGCTTACTGCACCCTCCGCCTCCCAGGTTCAAGCAATTCTCCTGCCTCAGCCTCCTGAGTAGCTGCGCTCACAGGTGTGCACTACCACGCCCAGCTAATTTTTGTATTTTTAGTAGGGAGGGGTTTGGCCACATTGGCCAGGCAGGTGAGGTGATCTCCCACCTCGGCCTCCCAAAGTGTTGGGATTACAAGTGTGAGCCACCACGCCCGGACTTGTTTTGTTTTTTGAGATAGAGTGTTGCTTTTGTCGCCCAGGCTGGAATGCAGTGGCGTGATCTTGGCTTACTGCAACCTGTGCCTCCCGGGCACAAGAGATCTTGCCACCTAAGCCTCCCGAGTAGCTGGGACTACAGGCATACACCACCATGCCCAACTAACTTCTGTATTTTTTGTAGAGATGGGGTTTTGCCATGTTGCCTGGGCTGGTCTCAAACTTGTGAGCTCAAGAGATCTTCCTGCCTTGACCTCCCAAAGTGCTGGGATTCCAGGCGTCAGCCACCACACCCAGCCTCATAATTCTTATATATAAAATTAGATGGAGTTCCAGAAGGTGGAGTCCCAGACTCCTTGGATTGAAACAAGACCATTATCAAAAGGATAACCTACCCAATGCCTCTAACTGGATCCATCCAGTTTATTATGGGATTGAGTCTAATCCAGGACCCAGTCCAGTAAAAATTGCTCAGATAAACTTGGAGAGCTCAACAAATTTGTGGAGCTCAGAATCCCAGAACTCACTATGGCCTCTAGTTGCTGTGAGAGATCAGTGGGCACGATGGGCCCTGGCAGATACCTTTTTGTGTGGTCACTCAGTGCTCCTGGAGGTCACTGAAGTTCTACTTCGGATCCTACTTCTGACACCAATTTGTTAAAAGAAAAATTTTATAGACAAGTTAACTTTAACAGCTTAATTGAGCAGAAGAGGGTTCATGAACCGGGTAGCACTCAGGACCAAAAGCGATGGTTCAGAATGTGTGCAGGCTATATTTATAGGCAAAGGAATGGAAATGACATACAGAGATAGCCTGATTGGCTGCAGTCTGGCGTTTCCCTTCTTTGGACATGTTTTGGCAGCCTTCAGCCTACGGTTGGCTGAGATTTGGCTACTTGTTACAAGAGTAGACTCTTAGATTAGGTTGCAGGGTGTTTACACATTAAGTTAGGTTATAATTCACTATGTACAGAGGCAGCTTTAGGCCAGACTTAATGCAGTTTAACAGAGGTCACCTTTGGAACCAGTTTAATTGTTGAGGGGGTCCCATTTTACCTAATTAAGCTCTGTATCTGTCTAATGAATATCTTTATATAGTACCATTTTTAAAAGTCCCCAGTTGTGGGAGGTGACCTTGAAGAATAAAGTTTCTTTATGTCTACTTGAGCTGCTTTTATCAAGACCACTCCCAGCAGCACACTGAGGGCACTGAAGGTCCGGAGTGGCACCACTCTGTGATACTGGTACAGAATGTAAGTGTCCTACAGCCTGTGGCTTGGTGGTCAGCAGCTGCGCTCCTCTGGTGGGGCTGCTGGCCTGTTCCCCAGGCACAGTCCTCACCTGCTTTGGTTTCCACCACACGTAGACTGGGCAAAGTGGGTGAACAGGCCTTAAGAACCTCACCTAACTGGCTGTGTGGTGCCCTTACCCAGCTGCTCCTGAATATGACTTTGTGATTCAGGAGCCACAATCACCTGCTCTTGGGAACCAGTCCAGTTACCCTGAGCTGCTCATGATCTAGCCTGGGTGATACTGTGTTCCCCCCACTGCCTAAACCCAACAGCTGCCAACCTAGCTGAGCTTGGGAACAGAGTTAAGTTTGGGCAGCTCTCATGTTCCAACAGAGATGGCTGGAGGGAAGGCTGTGGACCTGAGGGAGTGGGTGGTGCCGACCATGCAGAGCGTCCACTCCTCACATAGAAGGGAAGTCTTCACGACACTTACCTGTTGAACCTGTGTCTGGTCACTCACCTGGCACTGGGGGCTTTTGTTCCTCAGTAACTCAGATGAAGCGGTGGCTTCCGATTTTCCATTCTCTGACCTATTACCATCCCTCTGAAGAGAGGCCACCAGAGATGGCTTCCTGGGATGGGCTGAGGAGGGAGGACCACTTGGGCCTGGGAGGTTGAGGCTGCTTCTGCAGTGGGCCATGATCATGTCATTGTACTCTGGCCTGGGATACAAGATCAAGATCTTGTCTCAGAAAACCTACAAGACACTCACATGGCCTGGGTGTGGGGGATAGTGGTAGGGAAGGCTTCTTAAAGTTCTTTCCTCAACTGCATAAAGATACACGTTAAGGGGCCACCCCAGCCAAAGGCCTGAATTTGGAATCCTGTGGAGGACATGAGATGGGGCCAAATAGGCCCTCAGGAGCTCCGCTGCGGACTAAACACTGCTGCGGACTAAACACCGCTGCAGACTAAACACCGCTGCGTGCTTCCCAGGGCCAGTCATTGCTGGAGGCTACGGCTGACTCCAGTAAGGGGGCTTCTGGGGCTGTCCCAGCCTGACTTGATGGTGTGGGACCGATGGGCAGCCTTCGGGGTCCTTAAAGGGGAAGAGAGCAAGCAGAAAGCCTAGGCTTAGTTGTTGGACAGACTTCAAACCCCACCTTGACACCTTGTAGCCTGTTTCCTTACCTGTAAGATGAGGATAAAACCATGCATCATACAAGATTTCACATGAAATGATCCATGGAAAAAAAGCAGGCCCTCCTTTTTGAGAACAATGAGTGACAAGAGACAGCTGATAGGTGACTCTGAGAAACCCTGGGAATGAGGTTTTTGTATGACTAATAGTTGGGGATCAAGTAGCAGGACTTAAGAAAATGCCCAGTGCCCACTCCATACCCTGCTTGCGATCCTGCTACATTGTGGACATCACCTCATGCCACCAAATCAGGCAAGCCTGGCCCCGAAGGATGGCCATGCCATGTGTAGCCCAGTGCTTGGCATACAACAGAGTAGGATTCAGCAGTCCACCAGTCCCAGAAGCCAGGCTGGGGGCCTCGGATTCACTTCGGACCAAGGCCAACATAAGCAATGCAAAGAAAAGCAGAGGAGGCAGGTCACTCAGAGGGCAGCTCACTCAGAGTCCGGCGGAGCTCCTTACCCCCCGAGCTCCTTACCCTCCACCAGTAAAGCCACAGCTGGCCTCAGGCTAGGCCCCACCAGCCCCCAGCCTAGGGGTGGGACTAGCGTGGGCAAGGCAGGCCCCTTCCAAGCAGCCCAGGGTTCCTGGCGAGCTTCTGTAGAGGTGAGAGGAACTGCCGTGTGGGAAACGGGCAGACAGCGGTCAGGAGGAGGCCGGGGCCGTGCCTAGAAGAGCATGTGAATGTAGCACTTGCTGAAGGTGGGATGGCCTCTCAGCCCCGGTAGAGGTGCTTTTCGCTGGGGCAGTCCCAGGGTTTGGCTGACAGCAGAAAATACAAAATCATCAGAGAAGTAAAATACCTTTGTTTTATTATGTACACACTATATATAAAAACCACCTACCCTGAAAACAGCAGGTTCTGGCTTTTCCATGAACCCCCAGACGAATATAAATTGGAGCCTCTGAGAACAGTTCCTTCCCCAGAGCGGGGAGTGTGTGTGTGTGTGCGTGTGAGTGTGTAACCTTCTGATTCCATGGGACCTGGCCAGCACCTCTGGAGCCACACAGCCCTCCTTGCCTTACACCCTGACTCCAGCTTCACTGGTCCGGGGCACGCCTCAGCCTGGGGCGGCTGTGATGTAAAACAGTCACTCAACCTCCATCTTACTCTTCTGCAGAGAATCAAGGAAGTCTTGCCACTCTGCTGGGTAAAAGCGTTTATAGACGTTGATCTTATTCCGAATCTGTTTTGGAGTATCTTGATAGTAATTCTTCTCATCACGGGCCATGGCCTAAGAAAGGAGAAGGGCTACTTTAAGAGAGGGCTAGACAGGCAAAGGCTGAAATTTTAGCTCATCCTGAATTAAGCAAGCCACTTGCTATCTACCCCTGAGGTCCAGAATCCTAACCTCAAAGGCTGTGGTGCACCAGGCACAGTGGCTCACGCCTGTACTCCCAACACTCTGGGAGACCGAGGTGGGAGGATCTCTTGAGCCCAGGAGTTCCAGGCCACCCTGGGCAACACAGTGAGACCCTGTCTCTCCAAAAACAATAAATTAACCATCCTGTGGGCCCAGCTACTTGGGAGCCTGAGGCAGGAGGACTGTTTCAGCCTGGGAGTTTGAGGCTGTGGTGAGCCATGATCACACCACTGCACTCCACCCTGGGTGACAGAGTGAGACTCTGTCTCAAAAAAAGACTGTCTCAGGCCTTCTCAGGAAGGCCTGAGAGTCCAGTGGGCCAGGGAGGAGCTGGGGCCAGCTGAGGAGCTCATGACGCATCATAGCCAACTAATCGCACCTGGGCCCAAGGGTCCATTGTTTGTAGCCGGATCTTTCCACTGTTAAGGAAGCCAAAAATAGACTTCCAGCCTGGGTGACAGAGTGAAATTCTGTCTCAAAAACAAAAACACACCAAAAAACACCATATGCAAGCAAAACATTTATCTGTGAGTGAGACAGGAACCAAGGCCGCTCAGTCTATCCTTGCCTTAAGCATTCGTTCGAGTTAGGTCCCTGTCAGTAGGATCCATTTCCTAGAGTGTCTTTTTCCTCCCTTTCTTTGCACTCAGTTTCAGAAAACAGGTGCTGCGCAAGCAGATCAAGCCGCGAATGGTCCAGGGCACCTTCCCAGCCAGCCCACGTGGCCTCAGCCGGCTCACCTTGTAGTCCTCCCCGTGGTTCTCCACCATGTGGCGTACGTAGTCAATGAGGTCCCGAGACAGAGTATTTCCTTTCTTTTCTGGAAGGCTGGCTTCTGCCTCCAGGTCTGGAATGATGAGAAGCGGGGAAATAGGGAATGAGGCTTTGCTTTCTGTGCTCTTTGAGCTGTCCAGTCACCCCTTCACCCACTCCCAAGCCACAAGACCCACCACACCAACCACCTGGGGGTCTTTGCCTCCCCATTCCCCAATTCACTGCTGGAACCTTCTTCAGCCCCTTGGATCCCAGACTCTGTCTCCTATGACCCAATCATCTACCAGTATGGCAACTTTTGGAAAGGGAAGTCACTTCTCTCCGGGCCTCGGGTGGATTTACAAGGAAGGTAACAAACTAATAACCTCTACTTAGTGGCAGGTCTCAGGACAGAGATGAAGGCACATACCTGCTACAGGACAGGGCTCCCTTCCAGATATAAGCCTCTCAAATAAGCTCTTGATGTATTATTTCAACACATGAAATCAGATGGTCTAAATACGTGAGATCTAGAGCTTCCGGGTCTGGGGCCTGAAGCTGGGCCCTGGCACCTTACTAGTGCTCCATGGGAGAGAAAAAGCCAGGATGTGGAGCCAACTAATGGCTTCATTTTTAAAATAGGCAGGCAAATCCTACTCCATTTCTCATCTGAGAGAAAGAGCTACCTCAGAGAAAGGAAGTAGGCAAATAATATCCAGGGGCTAGGTCCTATTGTATATAAAATTATCTTTGACATGGTCGCCAGGGATTGGAGGTAGGGGAAGACGGGGAGTTGTTTAATGGGTATAGTTTGAGTTTTGCAAAATGAAAGGTTATATGGACCTATTGCACAACAAAGTGAGTATATTTGACTGAACAGTACACTCAAAAATGGTTAGGATCGTGACTTTTATGTACTTTTTAACCACAATTTAAAATTTTTAAAAATATTTCTCTTTGACTACAGTAAGTGCACATGGCTTTGTTTATACAATCCTGTGCAGTAATTCTCATGAGAACCACTGAGATAAAGACAGGAACTCAAGGAATTCTGTATCAAATGTCTGGCCATTCAAATCCTTTATCTTTAGGGGAGCTGCTTAAACACCCTGACAGGTAAGGGGAAGGATGAATGAAGAATTCTAGAGCATTCCCACTTTCCTGTAGGGTTTACTCTTCTCGTTTTAGCATTCACTCTCTATAGCCTTAATATATGTAAAATCGATTTTGTCATTGGAAACATTTATTGAGATGGTGGAATCCCTAAAAATCAGTTCATCCTTAAATTCATGGTAAGCCATACACATGCCTGAGATTTACTAGTTTCTCTTCTATTCTCCCAGGCACCTAGCTACATCCCCCCTGAACATCTCTGACCTTAGTTCACACAGTAAGGTCAGGGTTTAGTCAGTACAATGAAAAATGACCCAGCCAGGACACAGTCCTAACTCTGTGAACTTTGAACCAGCTCATCTCTTCCCTCTGAAACTTGGTTTCTCCATCTGCAAAATGAGAACATCTTAGGGCCCTTCCCAGTTTCCCACAGTGCAGGACAGTGACCTAAAGGAATATGTGGACCAAACCCACCATTCAGCACATAGGGCTTCCGCACAAGCTCCTTAGGCCCCTCCTCTCTGTCCACCTCCATGGCCTTCACCTGCAGACAACAGAGTCCTTGAGACCAGAAGGATCTTTGATGAGGGAACGTCATAGACTCCTGCTTATCCCAACACAACTGCTAACCCATAAGAATCCCTGCCCAAGGTCAGGTAGAAGTAGGTAACAATGAGAACTAATGCCCTGGAGGCTTTTTCTCTCTCTCTTTTTGAGACAGAGTCTCATTCTGTTGCCCAGATTCCAATGCAGTGTTGCGATCTTGGTTGACTGCAACCTCCCCCCGGGGTTCAAGTGATCTCCTGCCTCAGCCTCGCAAGTAGCTGGGATTACAATCGTGCACCATGCCCAGCTAAATTTCGTGTTTTTAGTACAGATGGGTTTTTGCCATGTTGGCCAGGCCAGTCTCAAACTCCTGGCCTCAAGTAATCCGTCCGTGCCTTTTACCCCCAACATAACCTTGGTGACAAGAACTTTGTGTTTTGTTCTCTACTAAATCCCCAGGGTGCTTAGGATGTGACATGTTCTCAATAAGTAGTTAACCTAATGAATGGGCTTGCTGAATGCATTTGTCCCATTGCCTTAGGCAAGTTTCTTTTTATTCTTTCATGCCAGAGGAAAAATGGCACTGCCATTTCTTGAATAAATGTGAGGCTACAGCCACACGGATTAGATAATCCCTAAGGCAAGGAGTGTTATACCCGTTTTACAGATAGGCAGAGAAAGATGAATTGCTTGCTTTTCTTTTGGGAATCTAGATTCTTTTAATAGTTGAAGCCTCCAGGGGGCCAGGTGGATCACTCGAGGCCCAGCCTGGCCAACATGGCGAAACCCTGTCTCTACTAAAAAGACAAAAATTAGCCGGGTGTGGTGGCACACGCTTGTAACCCCAGCTACTTGGGACGCTGAGGTGGGACATCGCTTGAACCCAGGGAGCAGACTGCAGTCAGGGAAGCCTAGGGAAGCCTCAGACCAAGGATGATAGAGCAACAAAGAAAAGGCGTAGAGATCTCCAACTCTTACGCAGTACTAATTAGGAAAGTTAAGGGTAGAAAAAGATACATTAAGGAAAATACCGTTGAGATGTCAATGGGTTAATTTCAGAGAAAAAAGACCGAGTAGAGAGGGTGTGGGGAATGTGTGCAGGGGAGGGAGTGTGATGAAGGTAGTAAAGAGACCCGTGATCACCGTCAGTTGAGCGTTCCAACTGTGGCGAGGTCGAAAACTCGGGAAGGGCCTGAGGGAAGGTATGGGCAGTACCAAGTTCTGAAACCTAGGTCAGTATGGCAGGGGAAGAGTAAAGACGACAAGGACCGAGACCCTGCCATGTCAGTACCTTTCTCTTACGGAGGGGCACCGCCCTGTTGGGGTCCACAGCCAATCCCATCTCGGCCAGGTTCTGCCGCACCGATTTAGCGTGGTCCCAGGCATGTCGGATGTGGGAGCTACGGGCAAAGGGAGACATCGCAGATCCGTCATCTCGCGGACCCTCCCGGCCGAGGCCCACCGCCACCCGGAACCCCAGCCCCCTCACCATTCGATCCGCGGCGCTGCCTTCCGTCGAGCATTCCGGTTCAGACGCTTTCGGTTGACATTGTAACCAAACTTCTGCCTCCGGGTTTTGCCCTTGGCCTTGGGCATCGCGCTGACCAAGGCACCAGCAGCTCAAAGTGCGTCTCACTCTCAGACCTCGTGTAACAAACTCCTTCCGGAAGGCATGCACAAGGCTTTGCGGGCATTTGGGGAAATGTAGTCCTTTCGTAGCGCTACCGTTCTGAGCATACGACTCCCAGGATGCAACGAGCACCTGCGCCTGCGTACAACGCTCAATCTATTCGTTTCCCCGCCCCTTTCGTGACCTTTACCTGGAGGCAGAGCTCGGAGTCCCTAATTTCTCGTGCTGCTGTGGCCCGGATATGGCGACTCCCGGCCCTGTGATTCCGGAGGTTCCCTTTGAACCATCGAAGCCTCCAGTCATTGAGGGGCTTAGCCCCACTGTTTACAGGGATCCAGAGACTTTCAAGGAAAAGTTCCTTCGCAAGACCCGCGAGAACCCGGTGGTACCCATAGGTAAGTGGGTGCTGTAGGAACTGCGCAAGGAGAGGAGAGTGATGTCGGAGGGAAGGAAGTAGAGGAGGACACAGCGCTAGCGGGGAGCGGAATGAGAGCGAACCAGAGAAGTAACGAGGGGGCGGGGCGGTGAGGGGAGAAACTGATTGGAGCGGGAGCAGCGGGTTTGGGGGCGGGATTTGGGGCCTAGGATTGGGAGGACTCTGTGGCTAGGAGGACCTCACCTCGACCTACCCTCTCCGCCCTACTTCCGCTGTGATCCAGAGATCTTGGCTTTGGGGAAGCTAGACCTAAAGCGGAGAATGACCTGCGGGGCCCGACCTGCTGTTTCCCAGTTGCTTTGTCCCCTCTTCAGGTTGCCTGGCCACAGTGGCCGCCCTCACCTACGGCGTCTACTCCTTCTACCGGGGCGACAGCCGGCGCTCTCAGCTCATGATGCGCACCCGGATCGCCGCCCAGGGTTTCACGGTCACAGCCCTCTTGCTGGGTCTAGCTGTCACCGCTATGAAATCTCGACCCTGAGCCCAAGGTCTGGCCTTGAAAGCTCCGCAGAAATGATTCCAAAACCCAGGAGCAACCACTGGTCCTACCATGGGACTTACTCCCTCCTCTCCTCTGAGAGGCCCATGTGTCGTTGGGGGAGGAAGTGACCCTTTGTGTAACCGTAACTGAAAGTTTTTCAGAAATCCTAGATTCTGTTGTTTGAATGTTACATACTTCTATTTGTGCCACATCTCCCCTCCACTCCCCTGCTTAATAAACTCTAAAAATCCACTTGTAGTATGGTGAATTCAGTATCATCCCCATGGTTTTTGGTCTTTGATTTTGGAGGAAACAGACTTTAGACTGGTGTGGTGCTTAGAAATCGTGTAGTCTAGTTATTCCCGAACTTTCCTAGTAACAGCCACCCAGGGCACTTTGAAAGCAGAGATTTGGCCCGACACGGTGGCTCACGCCTGTAATCCCAGCACTTTGGGAGGCTGAAGCGGGCGGATAACCTGAAGTCAAGAGTTCAAGACCAGCCTGACCAACATGGAGAAACCCTCTCTCTACTAAAAATACAAAATTAGCTGGGCGTGGTGGTGCATGCCTGTAATCCCAGCTACTCGTGAGGCTGAGGCAGGAGAATCACTTGAACCCAGGAGGCGGAGGTTGCGGTGAGCTGAGATCCCGCCATTGCACTCCAGCCTGGACAATAAGAGCAAAACTCCATCTCAAAAAAAAAAAAAAGAATCTCAAGGTCACTCCTTGAGATTCTAGTTCAGTGGGCCTAGAGTAATGCCATTTGAAAAATGCTGATCTACCCAGCAGGTTTTCACACTGTCAGTAGGACCACCTTCCTTCAGATGAGGCCTCCCATAGTGAGGTCAGGGACAGAGGGTTCTGCCCTCCACTCCGCCATCAGCTCCTCATCCTGCTCCCACCTCCTGAGAGTCTACGGGGCTCCACTGATCTAGACCATCTGGTTGTGTTTTTGTTTTTGTTTTTGTTTTGAGACAGAGTCTCAGTCTGTCAGCCAGGCTGGAGTGCAGCGGCACAATCTCTGCTCACTGCAACCTTCGGGCTCAAGCAATTCTCCTGCCTCAGCCTTCCAAGTAGCTGGTATTACAGGTGTGTGCCACCATGTCCGGCTAATTTTTAGAAGAATACTCCTGACCTCAGGTAATCCACCTGCCTCGGCCTTCCAAACTGCTGGGATTACAGACGTGAGCCACCATGCCCAGCCTAGACCATCTGGTTCTTGACACAGTATAGAAGAGGAAACAGGCTGAGAAGCAGTCTGGCACAGTGGGAAGAACACAGTCCCAAAGCTCTCCAGCGATTTGTGTACGTAATGTTCAAGGGTTCTGGAAGAGGAGGCTGAGGACCTGAGCAAACTCTGGAGGACAGGTGGCCTGTGAGTTCCTCCTTCATGGAAAGTCTCCAACAGGCGTTCCTGGTCTGTGGTCAGCTCTCCTCAAACGCTCTTCCTGTGTGTGATTCTGCTGTTTTCAACACCAGCTTCAAGCTGGCAGAAGGAAAAGGAGTGAAGACATGCCCCTTCCTGAACCCCCCAAGAGTCTAGATCTCAGCGTGGAGGGCTGTACTAGGGCCAGCTAAGTGTCTCGCCTCCACCATGTCCTGTCAGCTTTGAGCCAGAGATGATAGGCGTAGAGCAGTGCACTGTGGTGACTCTTGGCCTCCAGATACAAGACAAGGACATGGAGTGGTGAGGACTGTGACACTTTTAAAGAGGATGACCACTGTAAGTGTTGGTGTCATGGTGTCCCCCTCCAAAAATGTTGAAGTCCTTCTAGTTCGTTAGAATGTGACCTTAAGCTGGGTGCTGTGGCTCATCCCTGTAATCCCGGCACTTTGGGAGACCAAAGTGGGTAAATTGCTTGAGCCCAGGAGTTGGAGCCCAGCCTGGATGACATGGCAAAGCCCCATCTCTACTAAAAATGCAAAGATTAGCCGAATGTGGTGGCACATGCCTGTAGTCCCAGCTACCTGAGAGGCTGAGGTGGAAGGATCACCGGACCCAAGGAAGTTGAGGCTGCAGTGAGCCAAGATTGTGCCACTGCACTCCAGCCTCAGTGACAAAGCGAGACCCTGTTTGGTAAGAAAAAAAAAAAAAAAAAGGACAATTTGGCTACAAAGACAGACATACCTATAAGGCAATGTGCAAACAGCCATCTGATGGGGGCAGGATTGCAGTGATGCATCTGCCAGCTAAGGGATGCCTGAGGCTACCAGAAGCCAGAAGCAGGTGGAACAGACCCTTCCCCAGCTCCTTCAGAGGGAGCATGGCTCTGCCACAGCTTGATTTCAGATTTCTGGCCTCAAAAACTATGAGACGATAAACTTCTGTTCTAAGCCAGCTAGTTCATGTACCTTCTTATAGAAGCCCTAGGAAGCTAATATTTACTGGCAATTACTCAAATCTTTTTAAACATCATGCAGGTCATAAGCGTCCTGTTTGCAAACTCTGCTGAAGGGGAAGAAGGTGGTCACTGGTTGTTTATCCCGAATCCACAGATGGGCCCAGCTGAAGGAGGAAGCGAAACACACAGGGCAGTGGACCCTCCACATCCAGAGGGTCCCAGCCAACCCCGAGGAAGGGAGTCTCCTGGGTCTTCAGGGCTCTTCCCCAGGCTTAGAAGGAAGCTACCACTAGGAACCTCTGTCTTGCTTTTCCCTCCCACTACAAACCACTTCCCCTCTGGGAACCTTGGTGTCCTTGGCTATATGAGAATAACAGAATTTACCTCACAGACTTGCTAAAGGATCGAGGTTACAAAAGCATTCTGCGAGAGGCTGTCTTTCCTCCTGGAGATGGAGGCAACAGACATAGACAACTTGAGGCTCCCACTTGGCTGGGAAATGGGGAAACAGTCTCACGTTCTCTCAAGGCCACGAAGCTGGGAAAGTTCTAAGCACAAACTGAGCCCTGACACCAGTTGAGGCTTCCAGAGAAATGAGAATGATAATAAATAAGTGTAAAAAGAGTTAACAACACACCCTTTAAGCCAAGAAAAAAAAATACATCAGGAGGGACAGTCACAATTGAGTAGACTGAGAGGAGGTGTGAGGGGCTGGACCATAGGGCCAGGAGGGAGAGAGGGCTGAGGGGGGTGAGGGTCTCCCTCCCAGCGCCTGGAGATGGGGAGGAGTGGAATAGGCTGTGGGTAGCAGCTGCTGCGAGTCTCCGCCCCGACCAAAGCAGCTGCTCCTCCTCTGCCCAGGCCCGGCCCGTGCTCTGTGGCCATGCACCTAGCAGGCACCTAGCGGGACAGTGGCGTCTGCTTCAGGGACATGAGCACCGAGCGCAGGCGGGACACATCTTTGCACTGCTTGCTGCTCTTGGGGTTGAAGTCACACAGCTGGGCCACCTTCTCCCACTCTGTGCCTGGGGTCTCCTCCTTAGATTCCTTCACGAAAGCCTCCTCGGATGCCCTGCAGGTGGAGATAGGACGGGGTTTTATAGCAGTCTGCCTTTCCCCAGCCCTTCCCTTGAGCAAGGCTGCTTTGCCCAGCCTACTCTGGGGCACTCTGTCCTCCCCAGCCTTGTGCCCCCCTGACTTCAGAGGAGGGCAGCCTTGGCGCAAGAGGAAGCCTAGCTTGGTCCTGAGCAGGACCTTGCTGTCACCTCTTCCTGGAACACACTTCCCCCAGACTCGCTCCTGGCTTGCTGCTTCTTGCCATTCGGGTCTCAGTGCAGGCCTTACCTGCTCAGAAAGGTCTTCCCAGCCTAGGCACCTTCTGTTCATTACCTCCCTATCAGGAGTTCCCAACCTGGGGTTCCTGACACCTAAAGACCCTTGGAGGACCTAATGCAGGACCTTAGCTATTTTCACCATTTCCAAAAGCTTGGCAGAAGTAGGACACTGACGAACCACCTAACAGAAGCACCTAGTTCAGCATGGCCCGAATGCTGTGTGTGAGGATTCTCCAGAAAGACTGTGGTCAAATACCTATGGAAAACCCAGCTAAAGAGGATCTTTACAGCAAGACTTTCAAAGCCTTTAATACGCTGTGTGCATCATGACCCTCCAAGGTGGGTATGTGATGGAATCTACCACATCCCAAGCATATTTCACTACAGAGCCCCTTGTAGCCCAGAACCACCATTGTCTCTATGGCGTCTCTGTGGAGCCACAGCCTGGGGCATGAATGCTCCACTGGAGTCTGCTTTTGGTTGGAATCAAGTTAGGATGAAAACTGGTGGTCCTTCATCAGAAGTTCTGGTTGACAGTTACAGAAGCCACTGACTAAGGGACAGTGGGGAAACAAGTAAATACAGTATAGTGAACAAAATCTAACGTGGGACTCATTAAGAGAAAGACAATAAGGGATGCTTAGGTGAGGAGAGCTGGGTCAGTGTTCTGTTTGGCCAGTGAGGGTCCCTCAGAAGTCCCTGGAAGCCCCCTCTCCATCTCAAGCAGGACCAGTTCTGCCGATGCCAGACACGACTGATGGCAGGAGCTCTCCACGGAGGAGCTGACCTCAGATCAGGTGACCTGGCCCCTCTCGAGCAATGCTGGCTGTGTGCTCATTTCATAGCCTGTAAAATGAGGATCACAGCTCTGCCCTATCAACTATTTCAGTGGCCTGAGAATTCAATGAGGTAGCAAGTGGGCCTGGGAAAAAGAGAAGTGCCGCGTGGAGCTGGGTGGCAGGTGGGGATGAGGGAAGCTATCCTAGGAGCTGTCCCTTCAGGGTCCAGAGGCTGTCCTCCATCCTTGCAGCTCAAAGTGTCCATGGTCCAATGGCATCAGCATGACGACACAGTTTGTCAGAAATGCTGACCCTTGGGCCTCCCCACAGTCCTGCTGAATCAGAATCGGGGTTTTCACCAGACCCCCTGGTAATTCACAGGCATGTGAAAGTTTGAGCCTGGGCGCAGTGGCTCACGCCTGTAATCCCTATACTTTGGGAGGCAGAGGCAGGTGGATCACTTGAGGTTGGGGATTCGAGACCAGCCTGGCCAACATGGTGAAACCCCATCGCCACTAAAAATACAAAAAATTAGCTGGGTGTGGTGGCAGGCACCTGTAATCCCAGCTGCTCGGGAGGCTGAGGCAGGAGAATTGCTTGAACCCAGGAGGCGGAGCTTGCAGTGAGCTGAGATCATGCCACTGCACTCCAGCCTGGGTGACAGAGCGAGACTCTGTCTTAAAAAAAAAAAAAAAGTTTGAGAAGCCCTGGTCTACATTCTCTCTTCAGGGCTCTCCTGGGTGCTCTCTGGGCCATTTGCTCAGGCTCAACAGAAGCATTGAGCACCCTGTGGTATT